CCCCCCCCCCCCCCTCTTTCTCTCCCTCTGTGTGTGTGTGTGTGTGCAGGTGTATGACCGCGACTCTCTGTCTGTGGGGTTCGCCCTGGCCAACCACCCCGACAACCCAAACCCAAAAACACTACTGATATCGCTAGACGACGTACGCCCCCACCCATATAAGCCTGACACAAACCAATGCGTTTGTGCGTGCGTGCGCATGGATGGATGGATGGATGGACGTGTGTGTCTTCAGGAGCCTCCTGCTGCTAACGCCTCCATGCTGCTGCAGACCAATGGCAGCAGTGCAGGTAGTGCAGGAGAAGAAGGTGTTGTTGAGAGGGAGAGGGAGAGGGAGAGGGAGCACCCACCCCGGCCGCCCAGCTTGTTGAGGAAGACACAGCCATCGTCACACCAGGCTGTGCTCTAGCTACTGACACGTGTGTGTGTGTGTGTGTGTGTGCAAGGGCCGCCGTATAGGAAATACAGTCAGTGTTTTGATTGTCGGATGGATGGATGGATCGCACTTTGTGTGTGTGGATGAAGGTCTGTAAAGCGTATGGCCATCAAGTAACACGCCAATGTCGTGTGTGTTGTGTTGTTGCTGTGATCCCCAGCGGTAAGGAGACATTCCCATCTGCTGCGACGAGGCAGATGCATGCGTCCGTGCTGTCGGAGACATCAGCAACAGCACGAACACATACATGACACCACTTACACACACCATCACCAGAAGAATGGAAAGATGTCCTTCTATCGACAATACAGCCATTCTCTCTCTCTTGATGGTCGTGGTGTGGTGTGGTGTGGTTGCCAACATCACGGAGGACGAGGCCACGGCTGGCTATCTGTCGACGTGGAACAGATGGCCCTCGCCACCCCACCCACCACAATGGCAGCAGCCACTGACCCACACACACGCACACACACACACACACAGAGATAGATACATACCCACCAGTATTGCCGCCGTATACACCGAAAGGCAGCATTTGTATGTGTGTGGTGTCGTTGCTGCGACGGGGACAGGCAAGCGGACAGCCCACCCATCTGCAAATGGCTGGGATGTGAGATTACCTTTTCCCTTCGCAGCAACGGCAACAACACGGCACCACACGCATCAGCAAGGCAACACAAAAGCTGAACAAACGATAGGCAGGCAGGCAGGTCGCTATCTAGGTTTGGCCATCATCCCAAGGGTCACCACCTCCCCCCCAGCCGCCCCGGCTGCCCCTGCCCTGTGTCCACTAGCAGAGGTGAGCCTGTGTCTCTTGAGCCGCGCACACACGTCACGCAGCCTCGCCTCCATCGCACTCCAGTCTGTCTCATTGCTGCTGCCGGTGGGGGCGGCTGACCACACACACAAAAAGAGAGAGATCAATGCACATAGGGCAAACGCACAGAGAGAGAGAGAGGGATGTGCGCGTCCTTACGTGGCTGCTGCTGGTGGTTGCCATGGTCGACATTAGCAGCAGCAGAGGGTGGTGCAGGGGCTGGCTTTGACAGGGAGGGCACAGAGAGAGACAGAGAGGAAGGGGCAGCGAAGGGGAGCCTATTATCACTATCAACAACATCACCAACAGCAGCAGGCCGACCACCACCACTCACCTCTTCTGACGTGTCCACGGTGACCTCCCCCTGTGCAGCCAGCTGCCAAGCGGTCTGCCACGCCTCTATCCTCTGTAACAAAGCACCGTCCTTAGTGATGCTAAGGCTCCCATCACCATCCTCTCTCTGCTGCTGCTGTGTCGGTGGCTGCTGCTCGTGTGCCGCCCTGTGGTGTCTCGGAGACACCTCAACGACACCACTACAATGGTGTTGCTGCATTGTCCTCTTCTCGTTTCTTGCTGCTGCCGGTGGCTCGTGTGCCGGCTTCTGCGGCTGCTGCTGGTGGTGGTGGTGGTGGTCTCTTCGTGTGTGGTGAATGGTTGAGAGCAGGGGCACCACGTCTGACGCTGCCGATGCTGCCGCTGATGTGATGGATGCGTCATGATGAGCATACTGTGGTGGGGC